TATAAAGTTTTGTCAGCAGAAACAACACAGGCAGTCCCAAATGTCATACCTTTTATGGCAATGGCATTTTGTTTTTTCTTTCATTAATTTCCACTTTTATCTTTATTATTTTCTCTATTTCAGGTTTGATTTGCTCTTAATTTTCTAACTTCTTGAGGTGGAAACACAGATTTTAGATCTTTATTCTTTCTAATACACATGTTTAAACCTATAAACTTTCTTCTAAGAACTGCTTTAGCTATATCTCATAAATTTTAGTATGTTTTCATTTTCATTCACTTCAAGATTTTAAAATTGTCCTTGTGATGTCTTCTTTGATCCATGGGTTATTTAGAAGTATACTGCTTAATTTCCAAATATATGGGGATTTTCCAGATTTTTTCTGTTGCCGATTTCTAATCCAATCCAACAGTGCCCAGAGAACAAACCTGGTATAATTTCAATCCTTTTCAATTTTTTGAAACTTATGTTATGACCTTGCGTATGATCCATCCTAAATACCAGTCCATGTTACTTGACAAGAATGTGTACAATGCAGTCATTGGGTGTAGTGTTTTACATGTCAGTCAGGTCAAGCTGGTTGATAGTCCTTGTTTTAGTCAACTCAGTTTGCTATAAAAAATCTACCATGTACTGAGTGATTTAAACAAAAAAACATTCATTTCTTATAGATCCGGAGTCTGGGAAATCCAAGATCAAGGTGCCAGCAGACTTGGTAAGTGTTAAGAACCTACTTTCTGGTTCACAGACAGCTGTCTTCTTATTCTTCATCCCCTTATACTGGCACTAAGCCCATCATGGTGACTCTTTCCCCATGACAACATCCAAACCTAATTATCTCTTAAAGGTTACACCTCCAAATACCATAATATTGGAGATTAGGCTATACCATGAATCTGGGGAATTGGGGGACACAAACATTCAGTCTATAGTAATGCTATTTAATCTTCTGTATTTTTTTGCTGATTTTTTAGCTAGCTGGTATTATCAACTGCTGAGAAAGGAGTACTGAGACTATAATTGTTGAACTATTTCTCTCTTCAACTCTGTCAGCTTTTGCTTCATGTATTTTGGGGATCCACTGGTGTGTATATACACATAAATATTGTATGCTCCCAAATGTCTTGACCCTTTTAACATTATGAAATGTCCCTCTTCATCTCTAGTAATATCTCTTCTCTTGAAGTCTATTTGTGTATCAATATAGTCACTCCAATTCACTATAGTTACTATTTTCATGGTATATTTTTCCCCTCCTTTTCCTTTCAACCTTTTAGTGTCTTTGAAAGGAAGGGAAGGGGCAAGTCAAGGAACATATAGCAAGGACTCATGGACAAAACAAAAGTGGGGAAGGATTGAGGGAGGGAGAGGGAGGAGGGGGTAGGGGAAAGTGGTGGGAGGAAGGCAGAGACAAATGTATTTGGAAAAATAAATTAATTAATTAAAAAAAACAAAACAAAACTGATTCTCACCCTCGCTGCTGTGGCTCAGTGTATTGAGTGCCAGCTTGTGAACCGAAAGGTGGCTGGTTCAATTCCCAGAGAGGGCACAAGCGTGTGGGTTGTGGGCCAAGTCCCCAGTTGGGGTATTAGAGAGGTCTCTCTCGCACATTGATGTTTCTCTCCCTCTTTCTCCCATCCTCCCCCTCTTTCTAATAAATAAATAAATAAATAAAATCTTTTAAAAACGTTTCTCTTATGAGCAATATATAGTTGGATTTTTTAAAATTTGGTCTGACAGTCTATGCATTTTGACTGGCATTTTTAGCCTATTCACAATATGTAAGGTAATTACTGATATGATTGAATTCATGCCTGCCATTTTGCTATTAGTTTTAATATATCTTTTGTCTTTTTGATCTTCTTTTCTTCCTTTACTGCCTTCATTTGTGTTAAGCAAACATTTCTGGAGCATCATTTTATTTCCTGTGTTAACTTTCCTTGCTTATACTTTTTAGTGACATTACAATATGCATCTTTAACTTATTACCATCTACTTCAGGTTAATACTGACAGTTAAATACTGAAACTTGGCTCCAATATAGCTCCATTTCTTTTTGCTGTTACTGTCACATCATTAAGTCCTCAGCATTGTTGATAGCAACTTTAAACAAAATGACGTATAAGAATTTTTCACTATTGTTAGGAAACACCCCGCCTGGTTTCAGGGACTGTAGCCTCACCGACAGTCAAGAGGGCTCCAAGGCTGGAGCTAATCAAGGAGGCCTTGGGAAAACAGGCCACTGAGGAGACGAAACCTGTCCCCCTGGCAGGGGCACAGCCCCTGTCTCCTTCACATCACCCTGCTTGGCCCTGTGATGGTCGGTTGTTGATGATGGGTAAGTTCTCTCAAGAGAAGGGAAACCTAAGCTAGACATTGGCCGGTATGGGCAGTGAGACAAGGACTTGGGGTACACAGAGAAAGGGCAAAAAGGCCCGCACCCCTTGGCTCGGCTTGGACAGGGCTGGAGTCCTCATTCTTTCTGAAAGAAGTCTTCTTATCTCTCGGTGGCTCTGCACCGCCCGCCTGGCTCCGGCTTGACACGTTCCCAAAGGCAGGTACAGCCCTAAACTGGATCAGGCTCTCAGGGACAAACAGGCCTAGAATTAAGTTCCTCTAAGTATGCTTTGTTCTTCCCTCAAAAGTGATGATAATCGGCTCATACTGGGAAGGAGATTTACATTATTCATAGACCCTGACCTGAGGCAGGTCTCTTGTGTTCCTCCAATTGTTATCTATGTTCTCTGTTTTCTGTAAACATAACCTTTTGACATTGATTTATGAGCTTTGCTATATACCCCTGTGCATATGGTTCTCAAAAAAGCCTTTGGACACGGGTGTTTGGGGCCTTCCTTACTAAGAGGGAAGAGCCACCATGTCCCCTCTCCTGGCAAACAGAGAAGTGTTTGTGATGACTTGTGCTTATTCCCCCCATCCGTGACAACCCTGGGATGGGCTCTGTGGGATTCAGAGCCCCGCTCCTTCCTCAGCTGGCTCTGGAAAGTAACCCTCAAATCCAAGAGCGCCCCCGCCACCATTCCCTGCAACACGTCGCCCCCCTGTGGCACACTATAAGGCTAATTGATAGATACAAGAATTAAGTTCCTACTTCTTATCAACATTATAATGAAATGACATTGAACAAAATTGTTATTTGAGGCCCTGCTGTAATGTCATAAAGATAACTATAGTATTATAATTATTCCTTTATATAATATCTTTATAAGAAAATAAGTGGAAAAATGCACACACAGCCTTTTATATTTATTTACCCACATGTTTAGCATTTCCAATACTCTTTAGTATTTCTTATGGATTCATGTTACCATCTGGTAGCATTTTCTTTTAGCCCAAAGCTATTCCTTTATTATTTCTTATAGGGAAGATCTGCCAGCAGTGAATTCTCTCAGTTTTTGTTTATCTGGAAACGTGTTATTTCAGTTTCATTTCTGAAGAACAGTTTTGCTGGATATAAAATTCTTACATCAGTTTTTTTCCCTTTCAGCACTCTATCATTTTATTGTTTTCTGGCCTCTACTACTGTTTGTGAGCCATTACTACATTATTATTGTTTTCTTAGACATGAGTTTTTTTGCTGTTTTCAAGATTTTCTTTTTCAGCAATTTGACTATAATATATCTAGATGTGGTTCTCTTTGTGTTTTCTTACTTGGTGTTTTTGGAGCTGAAGGTTAATGCTTTTCATCAAATTTGAGATGTTTTCAGCCATTATGTGTTCAAATGCTTATCGCCCCCTCTCTTTCTTTTCTCTCCTTTGAGACTCCCATTGTAAATATACTAAGCCACATGACAAGAAGGGCTGCCCTTAAGTCTGCATAGCTAAGGGTCAACAAATGATTTAGATGACGACTGTACTCAAGTACTTCAAACCTATAAGAAATCACTGTCTGATGACTGATTTTATGTGGCTTGGGGAATGCATTCAAAGTTATAAGCCACTTTCAAGTATCCCTTGAATTTTGCGTTTCATCTAGTTCTCGTATCTCCCTTGCACATATATAGTTTTCCAGTCACTTAAGACTTTATGGAGAGCTTATCTCACCCTTTCTACAGCTAAGTTTCAGGATACTCTTCAACCTCACTCTCACCTCAGGCTAGTAAAGCTGCAGGTTTATTCCATTCATTTCTGCATCAATCACTTTTCACTGGCAAAGACAGAGACCTTCCTCATCCTCCCCATCACCATCCTAAATGAATACATTTCCTCTGTCGGCAAAGCTGCTGGTTTTTGTAACTAGCCCTATGCTGGTAAAATTATTATTCTCACCAACCAGGTTCCTTTCTCTTCTCTTTTGCATATTCCACTGCTTAAGAAAATTTGCTTCAAATCAACCGTCCTTTTTTTTTTTTTTGGCTTAAGGGAAAGAGAACCCTAAGAGCAGATTTGATGCTAAAGACTAGTATAACTCTTAGAATATAAACTTTATTAGAAATGACCAAATTTCTAATTAAAGTTCCCACTGTCAAAATATTTTTAACTTCTGACAAGTGACTCAAAAGTATTATTTTTAGGCTGATGCAATTTAAAATTTAAAAAAATTTCCTTCTAGTTATCAGGTTCAGCCAAAATATCATCTACTTGTCTGTATAACAGATAAGTGGAGTCTGTATAAGGAGAGCCATTCTGCTGAACAATAGGGCAGAACTTTGATGCACTCACAGCTGAGAATGGTTTCTAGCCCCAGCTGGGCTCCTTATGTTCTTATCTACCAATAGTATTAATCTCCCACACTTGTGAATTAATTGACTCTGCCCCTGAAATATTAGGATAACTCCTGTGTTATATGTAACTTTCAATATTTTCCAGTCTGATGACCAAACTGATAATGACAAAAAACATTTACATCTTACCATGTCTATTTCAAAAGCATCAACACGAGTCCTTATTTATACAAACAAGATTCTTCTCCACAGTTAATTATAAGACAAGCTAGAAAAGAGTATATTTCTTCATATTTAGTAAAATGAAAAGAAACCAACCTCTTTTTTCTTCTTCTCGTTTTAGTTTATCTTCTTCTATTTCTTTTGGTAATTTTTCCTTTTTCTCTTTTTCCACATCATTATGTAAATGTTTTGTTGTGTAGCTGAGTGCCGGTGAAAGAAGGATCTCACCATTTTTGCAGAGTTCATCACGAATTTTAATAAAAAACTGCTGAAGTTCTACCGCATCTTCATATATTTCAGAATCTGTCCTATAACAACGTCAAGAGTATTTATTGACACACAAGCTGTTTCTTTTTTGAAAATTAAAAAAATCTATTTATATACTTATTCATTTATTTTTAGAGGGGAAGAAAGTGAGAAAGAGGAGGAGAGAAGCATTGCTGCAAGAGAGAAACATCAATTAGTTGCCTCTCATGCACGCCCCAACCAGGGACTGAACTTGCAGCCTAGGCACGTGCCATGACGGGGAACTGAACCTGTGACCTTTCACTTTGCAAGATGATGCCCAAGCACCTGAGTCACACTGGTCAGGGCACAAGATGCTTCTTTTAAACACCTCAATTACATTTTAAAAGCTATTGAATGCTTCTTTAATGTTAATTGATATAATGTTACTTCTGCACAGTTCTAAGAAGGGTATCTCTTTCAAATTCGTTAGAGCAGAATCTGAAGAGTCATTTTTCCTTGGTAAGCCTCATGCCCACCAATTTTGTTTTCATGAAGGTTTGCTTCTTCTATAGTTCATGTAAAAAGAAAGGCCTCATACAGTTTCCAGGGGAGAAACAGTTGATTTTGGCAAGAGAAGGGGGCTCCCAGAATCAAGGACTATACTAAGGCTCCATACCAATTGCAACACTTACCTGCATCTAATCTTTGGATTAATTTTGACTTTCTCTTAAGTGAGGGACCAACACATTATATAAAGGAGTGGTCCCCAACCTTTCTGGCACCAAGGAATGGGTTCATGGGAGATAATTTTTCCATGGGCTGGGAAGGCGGAGGTGGGGGCAGGGGTAGGTGGAGCTGAGGTGGTAATTCAAGTGAAGTTTCGCTCACTACCCACCCCCGACTCCCCGGTCTCACCCCTGGCTCCTAACAGGCCATGGACCTGTACAGTCCATAGCCCCAGGGTTGGAGACACCTGATATAAAGTATTAACAAAAGATTTAGGCAATGTCCCTTTTCTTCTTTTTGGACTTGTATATCATGGTTGTCTAGGCTGGTAGGACTTTGACTATTTGACCTAAACTGCCAAGTCATGAGGGATCCTATAATGGTTACAGGTTAGTATTCATTTTAGTTTCCCAGAAATAACCTCATAACTCTGGGGAACCATCTGAGGCAACATAGAGAGATACGGAAAAAAAATTATGTCATACAGAAAATTTAGCTTTTCTTTTTTTTTTTAAAAACGAGAGTACTAGGCAAAATAACTTCATAATTTGGACTGGTAGAAATTTTATTACTAATTCAATCAATCCACTGTGGTCTCAAGAAGGTTTAAATATAATTCGATTAACTAAGAATACCAGGGTCTGAAAAATTATTCACAAAGGTAACCACAGACAAAGTCTCAGCAGCTGTTACATAGACATTCTTGTCAGGGGGTGTAGCAAGTATAGCAAGCCCAGTCAGCAACCTGCTGACACCCACCACTAGAGCATCAGACTTTGATGAAGCCTCCAGAATGCTTCTCTTCATCATAAAAGGTGAACTGGCAAGAAAATCTAAAGTTACTGCCAATAACAACCCAAGTGGATATTTCTGGAAAGGTTTTACAAATCTTTGCAGGTTACAGAAATGCTAATACTTGTAGGTAAGCAATAAAAATAAAATGGGCCATGGGAAGAAACTTCTATAACACTATTGTGATGCCTGTTTTCTGAATAGAAATATCTTAAGACTGTTCACTAGAAATTAAAACTCATTTTATAATAGCTTATAGTTTTATGTATAAAATTAAAAGTATAAACACCTTTGGTGATCAAGGTTACAATGAAAAAAAAAGGAGGGCAGATTTATAATTCCATTATGTCATATGGTTCAGTAATGGACATTCCTTACAGAACCATTAAACATCTGACATACATCCTTTCTGTTTTGTTTAAACAAAGTAATATGAAGGATTTGTTCATTTAAGAGACGAGGTGTTCCCTGCGTGTGCAAGAACAAAAAAGATGGAAAAAGAAATAACTCTTACCCCCCTTAATTGGTGGCTAATCCTTACATATAAGTCAGACATCCAGTAGAAGAATATAATTAAGATTATTGGAGAAACTATTAGTGCTTCCCTTGTTCTTGTTGTCAGATGCTTCCCCTTACCTGCAAGGGAGTCAGGGCACTTAATCCAGGAATACTGTCAGCGCATTAGGAAAGTTGGGGACCAACTGATAGGAGTCAGCACTGTGCTATTACTGAATACTGCTGATAGAAAAATCACTGTCACCTGAGTGAACTTTTCTATGCCTTGCTGTTTAGATCTCTTCTATTTCAGGTGATGAAGCCTTAGGTGACGTTGGGTAGCAGTGGTGGGTAGGGTTAAGTTGTGAAGAAGCATGAGCACTATTAGAGATCAACGTGAAAATGTACTGTGATTCATGTACTTAGTATTTTTGGGACATCCACTGTCAATATAATAAATAAAGGCATGGTTATCATTTATTCCAACTGATGCATCTCTAGCTCAGCAGCATGGGTTATTCCTAGTTCTTGTGTAAGATATTCATTCAAAAAGAACGGCTTCCCTTACGTTTTGTCACAAAGCTATGAGCATGAGAGTGAAACTGATCATTATTTCCTATGAATAAATTTTAGACTCTCTCTTCAAAAGCAAACACCAGTTATGTCAACAATGGCAGAATGAAAAAGGCTCATTGCCAAGGGAAACAAATCCGTTGAATTCTTAAAATAATCATAATACCTATAAAAAATAAAGTTGTTAATTATCTAAGAGACAAATGTACTTTGGAAGATTCACAGAGCTAATACCAAGATGTAATGGGGATGGGGCAGGAAGTAAGTTCAGACTTAGAGTCTTTAAGTAAACCGAGAAGAACAGAAGTCAGAAGTCTAAGTTCCATGAAGCAGGGTTTGTCGGTTTCGTCCACTGGTGTATCTCATGCATCCAGATAATACTCATAATTGAGAGCCACACAATAAACATTTGTTGAATAAATGAAAATAATAAATGAAGGCAGATTTTGACTACAAGATGTCCACCACCCTTTTTATTTCTATTCCCACTGTTGAAGAATAAAGAGACCATTTCCTAAATGTGTCACTCTCCAGTCTGTCCCTTGAACACACTATATTCATTTCCAAACCCTATGCCTTTACTCATACCACCCGTTTTACATGAATCCCACCCATGCCTCCATTTTTCCTGATGCCTCAATCCTTTTTAGAACTCTAGTGCGGAGTGCCTTCCTTCACAATCTTTACTAAATATCAAGTTTCTATGTGTTATCTCATGCCTGAAATTATTTTTCCCTAAGCATAGGTCCTATCCCAATTGTCAGACTTCAAGCTTTTAGAGCACAGACCTCAAGCCTTATCATCCATGGCTGTGCTCCGTGACTGGTATCTTGGTGACTCAGTCCTAGCCCTCTACAGTGGGGAACAAAATGAGCCACCAAACTTACTAATTGTGGGACTCTTTATATTTCCCTAAGTGACTCCAAGAGCACAAATTGCTGAACTGAAATTGTTTTATCAGTCAAGTATACTATTCCTATGTGGCAAAGATATACAAAAATCTAAATTAAAAGGGAATTTAAACTTGATAAAAATTTAAACTTGATTGCTTCTTTTAGAGCATTTAATGTCTGCAAAAGGCACTTAAAATGAGAAATTTGAGATAAAAAAGTCATTTTAGGTACCTGAAATGGTGACCAAATTTAAATCAGTTTAATCTCAAAAGATCAATACCTTAGAACTATTTTATTTAAAGTATGCTTGAACTCAACCTTTAAAGGAAAATCATATTACTATTTCTAACTATAAACTTTATCCTTAAAAAAAAAGTGTTGTAAAAGGCTGTACTTTAAGTTATGCCTCTCAACAGATCTTCAATTTTGTCTTATTCCTTATTAGTCCTAATCTAGATGCTTTCTCTCTAGAAGTTCTCGCTAATTAGAATTCAAAATAGCATGCCATCAACTGTAATCATGTATGTACCTAAGCTGAAATAGTACACCAAAGCAGAATTCTTTTTTATGTTTCACATTAAATATCACAGTTTATAAAAAAAAAAAGAAATGGCTTTGAAAACATACCGATTCATCCTTCTTGCCCTTTCTAATACTTCAAACATATGCTCTTGAAATAAATCAAGCCGCCGATAGCGATTATTTTCAACATTCTTCCTAATTATGTCAAAAGTAAGAGGAGGTTTGTTTGGAAAGCTGGGATCCACAGCAGGAATTTCTGCTAAAGAATCACTGTAGCATCTTCCCTCATCATCCTGATGACTCATGACTGACACAAAAAGATTGTGGATAAGCTCTTGAATCAGCATGGTCACATTTGGAACATGAGAGTCCTCATCTCCCTCCAGGTCTCTCCGAGTTTCAAGCAGGACTTTGTGTAGGACAAGGGCATCTTTGTAGATCAAAGACTCAGGCTCATTGTATGTACAGGCATTGTTAAACATCATGACGAAGTCCTCAACCATGGAATCTATATCTTGGTATTTGTTGGCCATCATATGACTTCGAATTTTTTCCATGTCCATGGGCTTTTTAATGGTCAGATAGTAGTCAGGCAGCTCAGATCTGGAGGGAAGTCTCAGAAATATGGCACTGAGGCGGCGACCCCTCTTATCAGTATAGTTCTTTACAGCTTCATAGACTTCATTTAATTTCTGCTGCATTGGAGTCATGTATTTTGATTTTTTAGGAGAAATGCCACTCTTCCTACCTAAAAAAAAAAGAGAGATTTAATGTTAACTAGATAAAACGAAATAAGTGAACCTAAATTTATATATCCTATTGACAAAGAACTGGAAAAAATTTAAGCGGTTTTCAGTAACATATTTTTAATAAGTACTGTTATGTTGAGATAATTGTGAATAAAGTAGAATAAAACAAATGACTTGTTTATGTGACATTCTAATTCCATCACTTGTGGTATCCTTGAGAACTCAGAGTTTCATCATGAGTGAAAAAAGAGATACAAATTTTAAAACAGAGGACATTGAATGTCACATAAATGTCAATTGAGAGCATTGGTATGTGTTTTATCTTTAAATAGAAAACATACGCACACACAATTTCCTAGATCTGTCCACTGAAAAGCCTAGAAACAATGACCAACCCAGTAGCTGTATATCCCTAAATAGTTTTGACTATATAGTCTACAGTTTTGAAACACTGATTTCAAATACTAATGTCGGTAACTCCTTGGCAATAGCTGATTCCCAGTCTGCACAAGATGAGCCTAGAGTATCTTTTCTTTTTTCTTAAAGATTTTATTTTTATTTATTTTTAGAAAGAAGAGACGGGAGGGAGAAAGAAAGGGAGGGAAACATCAATGCACGAGAGAAACATCCATCAGTTGCCTCCTGCACACCTCCAGCTAAGGACTTGCCTGCAACCCAGGCATGTGCCCTGACTGGGAATCCAAGAGATGACCTTTTGGTTCTCAGGCCAGGATTCAATCCACTGAGTCACACCAGCCAGGGCAAGCCTAGAATACCTTAAAACACTAGACAATTAAAAAAAAAAAAAATCTATCAATGACCTCTTACTATGATCATGTCAAAAGAATACAACAGCCAGCCTGGGACAACATGAGCATCAATAAGGACATTAACTACAATGGGTTAAAATTCAGCAATATGTTTAAATCTAGTAGTTCTTAATGATACAAATAAATGAACAAACAACTGGGTAAATGTTGGAGGATGCTAGTAAGACAATGCCGCATTCTGAAAACTGGTAAATACAGGGGAACAAACTCTAGCTTTTATCCTTTCAAAAAAAAACAAAAACAAAAACCAAGACAAATAAACCAAAAAACATACTGCCAGGTAATCAAATACTGGATGAGGCAAAGTTTCTCTATATAAGTATTCCAGCTAGTACCTAAGCAGGAAATATTAACATGAAAACATCACTATTTTTACATCTCTTTAGTGAATCAATAGCTGCGTATCTGTTGCTATTAACATAACGGAGAGAAACAACCAGATATTATGGGCCACCTGATGGAAGATCAGGTTATCACCTCTGAAGTTGGGTTGTATGCCAAAGGTAGGGGACACGGATCAAATCTAAATCTGATTAAGTCTCTGGCTCCAAGTATAGAAAATAAAAAGGCCAGAAGAACATGTATAAAATAGAGCAAAGGGATGCAATTAGCAAAACCCAGACTGTGGTAAACTACAGTACAAACCTACATTCTTCAAGAAATTTGCAAAGGAAAAAAATAAAGAGAGAGATGGAGGGGAATTTACAGGAAAAGAAGTATCATGCAAATGCAATGTGTGAACCTTCCTGGATTCTACCTCAACCAGACATTACCCTATGATGTGATGCAACGTAAGTGTAGAAAACCTATTATATAAAGCCTTCTTGCCAAGCCGAAGTAGAATCTAGCCAAGCCTTTAGAATTAACTTCAATTTATAAGAACTAAGGTGGATAAAGGTAGAAGTTAACTAAAATCATAAGGAAGCTAAATGACTAATCCAGAATTTGGAACTGTACAAGGAAGTGACTTGGTTCCTAAAGAGTCAATGGCATTAGGATAAAAAAAAAAAAGGAGGGGAATTGATCTAGAATATGAGTTTATGTGTATAACAATCAAATGTAATACGTAGAACTTAGATTTTGACCTGAAGAAACCAAATGTAAAAATAACATTTGTAAGACAACCAGTAAAACCTGTCAGTTATTAGATGAGACCCAGAAACTAAGAAACTGCTAATTTTGTTAGGTGTGGTAATGACTTAATGGTTATTTAAGAAAATTCAGTTAACCCTGAACACCATGAGTCTGAACTGCAGGGGTCCTCTTTACACAAACTTTTTTTCAATAAACATATAGTCGTCCCTCCTGTATCCCTAGCTTTTGAATTTGCAGATTCAACCAACCCCAGATTAAAAACAGTATTTTTGATCCTGCAGTGGGAATCTGCATATGAGGACTCATTTAAATTAATACGGAGATTTTAGGCATGTGCTCCAAGCTCCAAGCTGTTCAAGGGTTAACTGTATCTGTGTATTTTATAGATGCAAACTGAACTATGCAGAAATAGAATGACAATTGGATATTCTTTAAAATAATTTAGAATTTAAAAAAGAAAAATATGGAATATAGGAAATAAGTATGACACAATCTTAATAATGCCAAGCAACAGGTATAGGATTCACGGGTTCATTGTACCACTTTATATTTATATATGTTTGAAATTTTTCATAATATAAAATAGAGAAATGAAAAGGAAGTTAACATCACACATTAAAATCTCCTTTTCCCACACTCACCCTGGCCAGTGTGGCTCAGCTGGTTGAGTGTTGACCCACAAACCTAAACGTTGTGGGTTCAATTCCCAAGGCGGGGCACATGCCTAGGTTGTGGGTTTGGTCCTGATTGGAGCGCATACCATAATCAATGTCTCGCTCTCTCTCACACTGATGTTTCTCTCTCTCCTTTTCCCTCTCTCTAAAATCAGTAAGCATGTCCTTGGGTGAGGATAAAAATAAACATTTCTAATCTTTAGGTTTCTAACTCAACTTATGAAATTAGTTCTAGTTTTAAAATTTTTTTTGTTTATTGCTTTTAGAGAGAGAAAGGGGGAGTGAGGAAGGGGGAGAGGAAGGAAGGAAGGGGGAAGGGAGACAGAGACAGAGAGAAAGAAACATCCATTTCTTGTTCCACTTATTTATATTCTTGGTTGCTGCTTTTATGTGCCCTGACCAGTGACTGAAACCACAACCGTGGCATGTAAGAAAGACATTCTACCAACCAAGCTCCTCGGCCAGGGTCAGTTCTAGTTTTAAAAGGCACTGTGTCCCTAAAAAGTAGAAAAAATGTTTTCATTTCTGCAAACCTTCCATATGCTTTTACAATTCTATGAAGAGAGAAATACCTTAACTAGAAAAAATCATCACTTAGCAATCACACCCAAAGCTATTGTAAAATTCAGTTTACAGTCATTTCATATAAAAAGTAGAATCTGTTTTCCCCTTTTCAGTAAATATGGCTCTAAAAAATATTTGACAATACCACTATGATTTGCTGGTATTTACTTCATTTACTGTATGTTTTAATAAGGCACAAACCTCTTGTTTAGTTCAATGGGAGTAATTATTTTTGCTGTCTTCTTTTCCCTCACATTTTTTAATAAAACCACCATCTACACACGACACTCAAGACAGCTGAGTTAACTTACAGTACAGTGGCCAGACATCTCTACCCTCTCAAATTCTGTCTTGGCGAAACTGCTGGGATTTATTTTTAATTCTAGTAATCGGTAAACAAATATACAAAAACCAAAAGCTGCCACTACATCTTCCAAGCATCATATGTAGGAAAAAAAAAAATCTATTCTGCCTATTCCTATTTAATATCATTTACAAAATGTCCACATTAAAGAAGGTAAACAAAACCGTTAACATTATATTCTAGTCCCACATGCTCTTCCACAGTTTAACTATTTAAAATATGGAAGAGAATGCTTGAGAGGAGGGAAGAAACTCAATGATCGAGTGCAAGTTCAAAAATATTTACCAATTAATTAAATATTATTTCAGTAAATCAGTAATCTATCCCTATAGACTAAGTGGAACAACAAACTGTGAGGCTGCCTTACTCAGCTTGAGTTTGGGAGAAGCCATGTCATCATCATCAGGCAGTGGGCCCAGCTCTTTCCTCTTATCCTTGAGTAACTTCTCCAGGATGTGCGCGTCATTGTACACCTATAGTCCATAAATATATTTAAAATTATTTTCTAAAATACTTCCTATTTAAACATAATACATAGACACAATTTTAAAAAACACAGGTTAGAATAGTTTGGAACTAAAGAAGTAAGGTTTGAGTTCATTACCATCCAACAAAATCACATCTTTGTGAGGTGGGGATAGGCCTCAACTGGTTTGTTGTTTAAGCTTTCCAAGTGATTTTAATGTGCATACATGCATGTTAAAGGTTTGGGAACTACTACAGTAGGATCACTGCAAATGTCTACAGAAGTTTTAAAAAATACTAAGGTGTTTTTTTTCTTCAGAAATCTTTCATTGGACCCTCAAAGTAGCAGAGTTAACTCAATGAAAATTAAAAATTAAAAATATTTGATAGTTGGAGAACAATACCTCAAATATTGCTCCCAAATCCCATATTAAATGGGACTTAGCATCAGTGTGAATTCACAGTCTGGAATCTGATCTGTGCAATACAACAATTTCTGCTTAGGAGCTCTCTCTAAACAATGAATTACTCAAGAGTAATATATGCAGCCAAGAACAAGGTTACATATCTAATGGCCTCCCAACTCCCCCCGCAGAGGCTCTGTCCTACCTGTCTGTTGCCAGGGCTGAGGGGCTGAGGGAATCTTTTCTTTGGCTACCCCTTAAGGGTAGCTTTTTTTTTCTACCAGTGGCAAAGAAGCAGGACATTAGCCAATGGTACTAAAGACAATGTAAAACCCTATAACAGAGAACCAGTTTTTTGCTCACAAACATCCTACTTTATTTTTATATTCAAATGTAGTAACAAAAGAAAGAAAAAAAAGATTTGAAATTGTTATTTTATTTCTAGGAGATTTAAAGTAGATAAACTTGAAAAGATATTTGTACCCCCATCCATGTTAACCACAGCATTATTTACAACAGCCAAGATATGGACACTACCTAAGTGTACATTAAGGGATAAAAGGATAAAGAAAATGTGTTGTACATACACACACAGAGTATTGTTCTTGCCATTTGTGACATTATGGATGGACCTTGAGGGCATTATGCAAAATGAACTAAGTCAGAGAAAGACAAGCACTGTGTGATTTCACTTGTATGTGGAATCTAAAAAAACAAAATAAATGAAAAAACAAAGCAGAAGCAAACTCATAGATACAGAGAACAGACTGGTAGTTGCCAGAGGTGGGGGTGGTTGAAATGGGTGAAGGGGGTAAAAAGGTACAAACTTCCAGGTAAAAAATAAGTCAGTCCTGGGGATGTGATTATGGCATGGTGACTAGTTAATAATGCTGCACTGAATAGTGGTTGATGCTTAGAGAATAAACTCTAAAAGTACTCATCACAAGAAAAGAAAAATTGAAACTATGTATGGTAACAAATGTTAACTAGATTTAGTGTGGTGATCATTTTGCAATATATATAAATATCAAATCACTATGTTGCATGCCTGAAACTAATACAATGTCATAAATCAATTATACCTCAATTAAAAAAATAAAGTAGATAAAGGACATGAAATAGAAAAATATCAAAGAAAGAAGAATGTATCTTAGCTACAGTGATAAAAAACTGAAAATCAAGATACTTCATAACAAAATCAATTATTTATAGGTGCATTTATGGGAGTATTCTGGTCCTCATATATTCATAACATTTTATGAGTCATCCTCGAAAAAGTGTGGCTATTGAGAATAGTAATAATAAGGAAAGATCGTAATGCCACTTGCTTTCATTTGAGTGCTTATTTGAACAACAGGTACAATACTACATGCCCTGTTTATACTATCTCATTTAAATCCTACAACAACCCTGATGCATGTACTTGCTGTTATTATCCCCAAACTTACAGATGAGAAAAATTAGGTTTAGAAAAAATAAGTTATTTACACAGGGACTGGCAGAGCAGAATTCAAATCTAGGAAATCTAGGATGTCAGATTATAGAGTATGAACTTCTAACCTTTATAATGTACTGTCCCCATTTTAAACAATTAAGAGATGACAAACTATTAAGCTAGTCACTGAAAAGAATAACCTAAGTTAGGCCTCCAGACTTGGTCTCTCAAAACCCATCATTCCATAAGCACCCGAAAGAAAATGTGTCTACTCCAGGATTCCTTTATGTCCTTACCTGGGAGCCCTCCTCGTTATAGTGCCTGGCATTTCGGAACATCAACTTCATGTCTTCTATCATTCCCTCTTCCCCTGCATATTTGTCATTGCGGATGTTATGCTCAATTATTTTCAAGTCCATTGGCTCCAAAATGATTTTATAATAATCAGGATAGTCCTTTTTAGATGGTTTAACCATAAATAGATCACAAAGTCTTCTGCCTGAGCCTGGCTCACGAGCTTCAAGAACAACATTGAATAAGATTTTCATTCGCTGCTTTCTTATATTCTTTTTACTGTTGAGGAAAGAGGTAGAAAAGGAGAAAAATGAGAGTACGTTCAGTTTTTTTTAAATACATGGATGAACATGAAATGAAACAAATTAAGCTTGTCAGCAGGTGTTTCATAATGATTATCATTTATTGATTACATATGCCACACACACAGTTCACATGCTGGAAGCCATAAGCAAACATTAGGAAAATTTCCAAAATCATTAAAACATAGTGACTATGGCAGGAGCAGCCAATGAACACCAGACAAACCTGTTTAGAATATTTATGAAAAGCAATGACTGAAAAGAGATTTTGTCTGACAGCCAAAGAAAATGAAATCTTATCGAGTGAATGTATTTTTTGTTTTTAAGAATAGAGCAAAAGTGAAATAAAACTACTGATTCCCTACTGTTATTAATGGACCTCACTAAAAACAAAACAAAAACAAACAAAAAAACCCAACAAATGCACACACAAGAGTTCTAACTCTTAAGACAACCCACCCTGAACACCTGCATATCCTGTTTACCAGAAAACAAAGTGAGGCTCCTGCCAGACTATTATCTCTATGGTAGATACAAGTCTCTATAGTAGATACAAGTAGGTACAAGTCTCTCTTGCATTTACCCTGTCAGGGTCAGTCCCCACTTCCTCCCTCCATCAGCATTATTCCACAATCCCAACCTAGCTTAAAGAATAAAAGGTCTGTGGTTCATCTGAGCTCTTGAGTAAATTTTCATCCCCAAGTGTGAATCCCTGTCTTGCTCTCCAAATTCCCCCAGTGAGAAATGATGCTAAGAAACAGAAATGAGTGGTTTGGAACAAAGTACAAAGGACCACAGATTAGAACCTGACTTAAAAAGGGGCCCAGAAGACATATGGGCTAGTCTCATTGTTAAGGAAACTGGCTTAGACAGGTTAAATGATCTGTCCAATGTGAGCTGTCCAGTGAATTATCAGAAGAGAGGATCTTCCAACAGGATATCTGGCCCAATGGATGTCTTCAGGACACTGATAAAGAAATTCTAGCCAGACTCAAACCAGCAGTCTCCAAGTAAATAGGAAGATAGATAATAACAAGAAATGCCTTACAACTTATTTTCTATTCAACAGACACTAAGAGCCTATAACGTAGCACTTAGAGGTAAATAGCTTTTATCTGTTTCCTATATTATAAATGAAAGGAAGTTCATTCTTAAAGCAAACTACATGGCTCAATGGGTCTCCTAGCCCAGTTCTCCAACCACTCTCTACTGCTGGGTCATGGAGAAGCCAAAGACCAGATATTTTCATTCCAAGGTTCAAAATATGCTTAAAAAAAAAAAAAAAAAAAAAAGGAAACAAAACTTGAATAACAGATGTGAAAAGAAGTATTTATGCATACATCAAAAATTTTAAAATATCTCATAAATGTGTATCTTCCTAGCATCATGGTGCTATTAGAGAAAAAGGACCTCTGGTTCCTTGGGTTGAGGTCATCCTCAAAATCTGTATCTTCACTCAGGCTGTTCATATCCGCTAGTGGTCCTGGATCATTTCTGCCACCTTCCTCTCAGTAATTTTCTATCTCTATATCAACTAAGTGATTGTTACATGATGGCAATCTAGAACAAGTTTTATCTAGTGGAAACTATTTAAAGATGCATGACGGGGCAGTGATGTGGGAGGATGAGTTCTCTCAGTCCAGGACTTCAGCAAGTGGATAATGGAAGGGGAACTTGGGATAAAGGTCCAATACCACAGAGCTCCACATCTAGGGAGAGATTAGAACACATATGAATTTAACCTTCAGGAAGGCTCTAAAGAAAAATTTCAAAACCTGAATTTGATATCATGGAATACTTAAAACTACTAAAGTCAGATATGATTTCTTTAGGTCTCACTTGTGGGTACTGTACTTCAAAAGGAGGACTCAGGAATTTAGCTTTAAACATCTAAGCTTAAAATATCTCTTCAATAATCAACTCAGAATGAAATCACTCCTCATCCCAGGAACACCAAGCAGCATTCAACTGAGGCCATTACCTGGACCGCAAGGAGATCAACTTTGTTCACTTCCTAGTTCCAGCACACCACTCCCAGTTACCATTAGGTTTTTCTGTATGAGGCTACACACACTCTAATCTGAGAGTGAGTCTAGGGCAGATTTTTATGAGATTTCTTAAAGAGAAGGAAAAGCTCTTACTAAATTTTAGGGGAAATGCCAAAAAGTAACAATCGCAAGTGGTCCGTAACTCTTGATATTAGGCAGCTTTGAATGGAACATACTCAAAACGTAAAATTTAATTGTTTAAGAAACTGCTCTAATAATTGAAATTTACTGTTTTAGGACATATATTACTAATAGCATCCTTTCTACATTTGTATTATTCACACTTTAGAGAGTGATGTATAACTGGTTTCCATCCTCAAAGGCAAACAAAACTTTTGTTATTAGGGTCACTTAGGATCTTTCTGAACAAATCCAGTTTTTTATTTTGTTTACATTTTTCCAGACCCTTTAATGGCCTTTGAGAAGACTACTAGCCCCTTACTTTTATGTCTGACTGTCAGAAGAAAACGCAGAGCTAAATTTCTACTCTCTTATGATAACTGTATTTGATTAGATGGCTGGTATATCTGTTTTATGCTTTTCCAATAGAGACTTTTGAGTAACTTCAAATACATTTTGAAATGAGACTATGTTACAAAAAGACAGCTACCATATCCGCTATATGATATTTTCTGGTTACTGTTTTCAATGTCACTTTGCTTTTCAGAGTCTTTTTAGAACACCTCTATGCATCCTATCACTCTTCTCTCTCAGATCATTAACTATAAGCTGTTTACTTTTCCCCATTTTGGGAAAGGTGCATAAAATTAAATCCCAAACTTGGTAACTGGGATACTCATTCTTCTTCTTATCTTTATCACTACCTTTGCACATAGTGAAGTAAAATAAATCTTAGGGATGTTCAAAAACAGGGCTGTTTTATCACTGTGCACTTCAGGAGAGGCCAATTCAGATCATAGATGTTGTTATTATAAACATACAATTCTACAATTTTACAGGAGATGGGTCATGAATGGCCCTGTGCCAACATCAGTATACGGCAGCAATTTTTCTCCAACAAATGGAAGTCAAGTGTCTTGACATATGGGTGCTTTTCTAATTTGCACAAAGACTATAGGCTAGCAGAGGCTCTGCTGAATCCTTGTTTTTCCAGGACCACCACTACCACCACCACCATCCTCCTGACCCCAAAACCAGCCAGAAACACTGGAATTACTGCCACTTTTTGTATCTCTTAGTTTATCACCCAGTTTTAGAAGATCTCCTTCTAAAGTTCAGTCTTTCTAGATCTGAACTTTCCTTTCAATTATTCATGCCACAGTGTCTTAACCCTCATACCTTGTTACTGACCCCCTTTTCAAGTTTCCATAAATTACGTTTCCTTTGAAGCTATTATTTATCATATATGTATTTGCATACAACACACACACAGACATGTCCAATTTACAGTTATAGCTAACACTTCAACCATATGCCAGTAACTGTGTCAGGAACTATCCATACATTCTCATTTAATCCTACAACTCTGATAACCAGATACGATTATTATCCCAACTTTGCAGATGTAAAAACAGAGGCTTAGAGAGGTCAAGTCAATACCTAAGGCAACAAAGTGAGTAATCAGAACTGAGGCTTAAATCAGCTGATAATCACCCGGCTGCTTTTATCCTGTCCTTCCCTTTCCCACGTTAATGCTTCCTATCAGCCTCTCTAATCAAAATCAACTCTGTTCATAGACTTCAAAGTAGCCCAGTATTGAACTCCTTGGCCCTAGAGTTTCAGTGTTGACTGCTGTTAAGCTAAGTAAATCCAAAGTTTCTTTCTTTTATGAGGCTTGCTACATTTCATCAAGTCTTCAAGAAATAAAACCTTTCACCCTAGCTGGTGTGACTCAGTGGATTGAGCACTAGCCTGTGAAGCAAAGGATCACTGGTTCGATTCCCAGTGTAGGGTACATGCCTGGGTTGTAAGTGGGTCCCCAGCAGGGGGTGAGCAAGATACAACCACACATTGATGTTTCTCTCCCTCTCTTTCTGCCTCCCTTCTCCTCTCTAAAAAAATAAGTAAATAAATAAAAGAAAAATATTACAAAAAAGGAAATAAAGTCTTTCATTCATTTTTTCTAATGTTTCCCCAGACGAGTAACATCTAACTAAAAACAAAATGAAATCTACTGATTTCAAATCCTGATGTCAACAAAAACTACTTTCAGAAAATAATCAGAGCTACATTTATTGAGTACTTACTGCAGCCAAGCTCAGTTCTAAGGGCTTTAAACATATTAACCAATCAGGTCCTTGTAGCAATTCTATGTAGGTATTGCCATCAACTCTCTGTTCAGATGAGGAAATTGAGATGAAGCTCATATTAGAGTTAGTAAGAACTGGGATTTGGCCCTGGCTGGTGTGGCTCAGTTGGTTGGAGCGTTGTCCCATAGCCAAAAGGTTGCAGGCTTGATTCCCGGTCAGGGCACATATTTAGGTGGTGAGTATGGTACAATCCCTTGTCTGGGCACATGTGGGAGGTGATCAATCAGTACTTCTCTCTCACATCAATGTTTCTCGCTCTCCCTCCCCCCACCCCCCAGAAAAGCAATGAAAAAATGTCCTCGGGTGAGGATTTAAAAAACAAAAACTGTGATCTGAACTTGGGCAGTAAAGCTCTAGATGTTGGGGTTATAACACTACTCCATGATGCCTCATGTTTATATTTCTACTACTACTCAGAGTCAGTGCCACACACTGAGTGGTATAAAAGAAATACAACTCATGGTCTTTAAAAAATACCAGAAAAACTTTCCTTAAGGAAAATATTAGGAAGATAGTAACTAATTTTGTAGGATGGACTACATATGGTAACAGCATGTAAATAAGTTTAGAATACCTAACTTTGAAGGGAAAACATGGTAGGGAAATCATATTTCCCAAAGCTGTTTGGGCAATTATGAAACATTTCTATACAACTACACAATTGTGTTTCATGTAATTATTTTTAGTACGTTGTTTCCACATAGTTTCATTTGCATTCCATCTGCCTGCCTATTTTCATGGCCAATAAGTTCCTGGCAGGTACAGGTGATGACTGAAGTTCTCCTTTATGACCTATAAGAACAGAGTCTGGTGTTCTGCAAGCAACTGACTCTCCATGAATGCCAGATAGCAAAGGTAAAAATAAAAAGCACCACACAATGATTACTAGGACTATAACATGGCAACTCATAAGCTGCTTTTAAAATCATAAGTAACATGCAAAATAATGGATGCTTTTAAAGAAAGAAAACAGTGACAAAATCAGAGACTGAGAAAATGTGTTCATGCTCAAGAAGCACTAACCCAGTTATAGGTGTCAACAAGACAGACATCACTTGGATTGTCAACATTGATTTTAATCCCACTACCATACCTGATGTATAAAAGGCATCCCTGGAAAGGGAATCAGCACCCACCAGCCCCTGGAGGCTGGCGATGCTACCATATACCTATCCTCTACCTTTTGCTGCAGAAGCACAGCCACAATGATTGGTGAGAGGGCTTGCTGTCCCCAGCCAATCTAGTAATAAATTACGGCTAACTAATACTGACTTTATTTTACTAACAATACTTCTAACCTTTACTGCTTTTTTTATTCATAAAATAAACTAGCACTCTAATAAAAACCATTATTTTACATGCTTAAGGCTTTATTGGTCACCTAATCAGCACTACTGACCATGCCACAGAAGCTTATACTTTAAAAAAAAAAAGTTAATGCATAAAAAAGGACTGCACACCTGGATAGCCTCCTGAGACCCAACATCTCACTGTCAAGAGTGTTCCTGGGAAAGTAGAAACAAACATTACATGTGAAGAGAAACAAAATAAACAACATTGGAGGGTCATGTATAAGCCAAATATGGTTGAGGAAAAAAAAGGATTATTCACTCCAAAGGATAAAAGATATTAAGAATGCTTGGAACATTTCAACATGGAAGACAGCAGGTAGATTTTTGGGTAGAGGAATGAGGGAGAAGAATGCACTTCCACAATGAAGAGCACATACCAACATTAATTTTTCTCAGACTAATATTTAAAAAAATAGGGCAAAGACAGAATCATACATAATACTTAGTAGTAAAGTCGAGTGATACATGGAAAACTTGGCCCTGACTTCTATGGACACGCTTAACTTAGTAGGCTGCTGTGTTTGCCTGAATTTTGGAGAAGTCTATTTCTTCTTACGAAAACTTCTTAACTACCTTCTAAAAGGCTCATTATGTTATTTCCTTTGCCATAGTCCAAAGTATAGGACTTCTCTCAACCCTTTAATGTCCACTCATGCCTGTATTTCAAACCTGGGTATGTTCTTTTACTGCTTTAGCTGATTTATATTTGTTCTTCTCTTATGCCTGTTTTTCACTTTGTTACACAAAACAGTTCCTAGGAAATGTGTTCATAAAGGGAATTTGGTCTGAAGTGGGATTTCATTATTTCAGGAATTAAATGCTCAGTTTTCTTTTTATTGTAGGTTCTAGAGTAATACCTTTCGTTTAATCTACTTGGGTTGTCCCACAAACAACATGCCAGAGATAGGTAATTTTTAAGTATCTGGCCTGGGCTAATGCATCCTTGAAACTGATTTTTTTTTTTTTAAACACTTAACTAGTTTAAGATCTCTGTTCATTTAGTGTTGGCACCAATTGTACCATCACTTTTGCCTCCATTACCTTCTTTTGCCTGAGAAGTTTTTATCTTTGTTGGTGACTGATCTGGAAAACACAGGTGATGCTGTAGTAGAGTTATATAATTACACTCAAAGATGTTCTTGATTTGATGTCTCTGATCTGCTTTCACATTTTTCCTCCGTTGTCCCTGGTATAACAAGGAATTAAGAACTTGGAAGGATGACATTCATAGGCCAGTAACGGAGGAGATTCACATCTCAGGGTATACCAATCAATTTAGTTACCAAGACATAAAATAGTAAACAAAGTTATTTTCGAAGCTAAAAATGTTTCCCCAAATGCTAATTATAAGAGGGTAAGATAGGACAGCTTCTCTTTTCTAAACCACTTTTTTTAATCCTCTCATCTTAGTGGACCTATTAATGCATGATCAGAATTGTATCAATAATTACTAAGGAATTCTTCAACTTTCAATCTGTCAAGCCCTACTACTAGTGATTAGCTTATTCCTTGTCTAAAATAAGATATCCTCCCTGGATTGACTGCAGCTAAAAAGATGGTGAGAAAGTTAAGAAAGAGGGAGAATATAGTGTTCCACAAAGACCAAGCCAGAAAAGCTCCATGTGGGAGGCACAGACAAAAGAGATGGTCTCGCATGATTCTGTATAGAAGTCCAGCTTCAGAATCTCACAGTGAAGTTCTCTTCCATAAAACCCATGAGTGAAAGAAAGGGTTATGGAAGTTGAGGGAAAGGTTAGAAAGAAAAGGAAATCAAATATCTAGTGTAACATTTTATGAACTAAAAGAAGTTATGGCTTGGTATTGTAGAATCTGACATCCTTAAAATGGCAAATAAATTTCAGATTAACAAGGAAAAACAAAAGGGTAAGAGTAATGATTTACTTTACTGTAGTGACAGTACTAAATTTTTTGTAATTCACCATGAAAAATTACCTAAATTAAATTTAAGTGGCACTATTAAAATGCCACATTAAAACAAAATAACCTGGACAGCAAAAAAGAACATGTTTTGCCAACCTATATAAGTAGCTGTCATTTTTAACTATATCTTCTAAAAGCAGTACAGTACTTGCACAAAAGAGCACTAATATAGTTTTACAAATAAATTCTAAAAGACATGTTATCAAATATTTGAAGCTTATAAAAGAATTCATACTTGATGTGTTAAAAAACATTTTTTGTAACTTATTTAAAACAAAATAAATAAAAACTGAGAAGATATCTCCAGTTATGAGAAGAGCATATACCTTTTTCTTTTAGCACTACCAGTATCAGAGGTGGCTGAAGAAATCATGCTGTCTCCATCCTCAATGTCGTCTCTCCTGGCAAGCTCCTTCTTCTTTGCCTAAAACAGAGCAGATCCCGGGAGTCAAGTTCACTTTGCTGAGTACTCCTAGAATATATGAATATTAAAGAGCTAGACAGTTTCACCAAGAGAAATACAACCACACATAGGACACATAAAATTAAAGTCATTAAACATTTTCAATGACACAATTTAACAAAAGACTGCAAGACAAAAAAGTTAAAACAATGGATCCACTTGTGGTCAAAATGGAGGTGTTGGTAGACATGCTTTGCCTCCTCGTGCAACCACAAAAAGGAACTACCACTAAATATCAAAACAAGTAACACTCAGAACTGTCAGAAAATCGAACTGTATAGAAGTCCGACAACCAAGGATTTAAAAAAGCTACAAACATCCAGATGGATAGGAGGGACTGAGATGGGGCACAGAAGCAAGGAGAAGTGGTGTGGCGGGCGAGGCAGTGGGGGCGGCAGAATGGGCACAGGCGGTCCCACATTCAGGTGTGGTGGATAAAAATGAGAAGGGACACCTTGGGAGCGAGTGATCCCAGCCCCAGGACAAAATACACAGCTCAAGATTCCAGTGCCTGGGAATAAATCCCCATAACTTCTGGCTGTAAAAACCAGTGGGGGTTGGAGCCGCAGAAGAAACTGCCGGATTCTCAGAAAACTTTGCTTAAAGAGCTCACATGGTCTTAAAACATACACAAACCACCCAGTCTGGGATTAAACACTGGGGCAACAGCTATAAGAGCTCCAGTTGCATATTGGGAGTAGGTGAAGTGACTGGAAACTGGGCGAGTGCTGGACAAACCCCCAGAAGCTAGGCAGTAGCACTGTCCCCTCTATGATCCCTCCCTACACAGAGAGCCGCAAAATAGTGAAGCTGGTTGCCCCACCCTGGCGATTATCTATGGCACTGCCCCACACAATTTACAGGTGCTTTTTACAGTGAGTCAGAGCAGTTCTACCTAATACACAAACACATACAGGGAGGCTGCCAAATTGAGAAGACAAAGAAATATGACCCAAATGGAAGAAAACAAAACTCCAGAAAAAGAACTAAACGAAACATAGATAGCCAACCTGTCAGATGCAGAGTTCAAAACACTGGTGATCAGGAGGATCAAAGAACTCATTGAGTACAGCAACAACATGAAGGAAGAAATGAAAGTTACACTAAGTGAAATAAAAATCTACAGAGAACCAAGAGCGGAGGGAAAGAAGCCAGGATTCAAATCAACAATTTGGAACATAAGGAAGAAATAAACATTCAAATAGAACAGAAAGAAGAATTAAAAAAAAAAAAAATGAGGATTGTATAAAACTCTGGGACACCTCCAAATGTGCCGACATGTGAATTACAGGGATGCCTGGAGAAGAGGAAGAGCAAGAAATTGAAACTTATTTGAAAAAATGATGGAAGAAAACTTCCTTAATTTGGTGAAGGAAATAGACATATGAGTCCAGGAAGCACAGGGAGTTCAAAACAATTTGGACCCAAAGAGGCCCACACCAAGACACATCATAATTAAAATGACAAAGGTAAAAAGATAAAGAGAGAATCTTAAAAGCAACAAGAGAAAAGCAGAGACTTATTCACAAAGTAGTTCCCATAAGACTATCAGCTGATTTCTCAGAAGAAACTTTGCAGGCTAGAAGTATTCAAAGTGATGAAAAGCAAGGACCTACAACCTAAATTACTTTATCCAGCAAAGCTATCATTTAGAATGGAAGGACAGATAAAGTGCTTCCCAGACAAGGTAAAATTAAAAGAGTTCATCATCGCCAAGCCCTTATTATATGAAATGTTAAAGAGACTTATTTAAGAAAAAGATCAGAGAGAGCCAGCAGGGGCAGGTACAGGTGGAAGTACTCTTCTTGGCTTGCAGGCAGCCGCCATCTTGCTGTGTCCTCACGAGGCAGAAAGAGAGAAAGCTCTGTTATTTTCTTCTGATAACGACAATTTTATCACGAGGGCTCCATTTTCATGACTTCATCTAAACCTAATTATTTCCTTAAGGCCCTCTCTCCAAATTCCACAACACTGAGGGTTCGGGCTCTAACATGTGGGTTTTGGGAGGACACAAATGTTCAATCCATAACAGTTTTCAAGAACATTAAATAAGAGAGAGGAAAAAAGATGGCGGAGGAGTGAAAGGGAGTCACGCTGACCTCCTCCCAAAACCAAACTGGAATTGCAACTAAATAATGGAGTAATCACCTGGAAAGCAGTGGAGCGATAGTGGGAGAGGAGCCTTGGTGCCGCGGACAGCGGATTCGACTCTCACACATCCCAACGGGTGAGAATTGTGGTGGAGGCTCGAGAGGGTGGGCTGGGTGCGCACGGGCACTGGCACCAGAGGGACACTGAAACGGCCAGTTAGCGTCCCCCCGGGAAGAACGGGGTCTGAATCATAAACAGGAACCCCTAAACTACAGCCGCTAAAGCCGAGAAAATACAGACAAAACACAACCCCAAAAAGCTTAGGGGCACTCTCTGCCAGAGACAAGTGGCTGAGGATGCAAAAAGACATTTAAAGGGCAAACGCAAAAGTTGCAGCGGCAGCCACCCTCCTTGATCGCTGGGTACAGGCGGCAGCAGGGTGGGCTGGTGCCTGGGAAAAGACTGGTGAGGAAAACTTTGTGAAGAGAACTGACTCTGTGGCCGGTGGAGCCCGGGTGATAACGCACTTCCCACTCTGCAGCTACCATCTCGCTCAGGCATAAGGGAATCAATTAACCTGCCTTTTGTGCGCTCCGCACACAGCTTGTGTGCCTGTGACCTGCGGGGCTAAGTGCAGACTGTCTGGGAGAGCCTTGAGGAGAGACTGGAGACAGTGGCGTTGGGGAAAGAACGGGAGGAGGAACCGGGGAGTCCCGACTCCCTCCCCGTTCGGTAGTCTCCATTGTGGGCTGGAAAGGCGCGACCCCAAAGAGGCAGAAGCGGGGCACGCATGAACCAGACTGCCTGCGATTGAAACGCAGTCTGCACAGGGGTTGGATCCTCAGCCGAAGGGGTCACAGAACTGCCCAGAGGCCCCTGAGGGGAGACTAGAAACGGAGGCATTGGGGAAAGAACGGGAGGAGGAACCGGGGAGTCCTGACTCCTTCTCCTTGCCGAAGTCTCCATTGCGCGGGAAGAGGCCACACCCCCAAAGAGCCAAAAGCCGAAAAGCAAACATAGACACCCCCAAAACACCCAGAGCAGGCGCGCACACTTGCGCCGAGTGACTGGCGAGGGTTGGCGAGCGTCTGTGTGACCCACCCGGGCTGGCGAACGCTTGCACCTGCCGGCAAGGCCTCACACAGACGGGCACCCATACGGCCTGCGAGGGAGTGCACAGAGGGGCAAGGGCAGGCATAAATTGACCTACCCGCCGCGATTGCGGAGCAGCCCACAAAATAAGTAGAGCTGCCCAGAGTCCCTGGAGGAGAGACCAGAAACAGGATTAACCGGAGAGCTGATTTCCTCCCATTTCCGTAGTCCCCATTTGGCGAGGGCAAGCAACGCACCCAAAGAGCCAAAAGCGGGGAAAACACACAATAGAAGACTCTAAACTGACCAGTGCTGCGAAGCTCGCGTGCCAGGGAGGTCAGATGAGCACGGGAGGTCGCGAATAAGCCCCCTGGTCTGGGGCAAACACATGCGAGCCCAGGCAGGTGGGGGACCCTGCCACGCTGGGAACGCGCTCAAGGAGCTCTCGTGAGAGCGCAGAGAGATCCCAAAAAATAGCCCAGCCCTGACCGAAGGGGTCACAGAGCTGTTCCAAGCAGGAGTCAGACACAGGCATTAGACTCCTGAAAGGCTCAAACAAACAACCCAAGGCCCTATAGGGTCAACAACTGACATCATCAGAGGCAAGCCCAGAAAGAAAAGTAAAGGACAAAAATACTTAACAGACTCTCACAAAAATGGGAAGAAAAAGAAGTTCCCCCCAAATGAGTGGAAAAGGGGACTCCCCACAGAGAGAGCTCAATGAAATAGAGGCAAGGGAACTATCAGATATGGAATTTAAAACAATGGTTCTAAGGAAGCTCAATGAGCTCAGCCAGCTCAAAGAGAACTATGAGAAACTGCAGAGAAACTATCAGGATCTCACAGCAAACTATATCAGCCTGGAAAAGGACATAGAAACTATCAAGAAGACACAAGAGGATATGAAGAATACCATTTCTGAATTGAAGAACACAGTAGAAGGAATCCAAAGCAGGCTGGATGAAGCTGAGGATCGAATCAGTGAGATGGAGGACAAGGTAGAAAAAAGCTCCCAGAAAGAGCAAGAAATGGAAAAACGGCTCAAAAAGAATGAAAAAGCATTTAGGGAAATGCAGGACAACCTGAAACGCAATAATATCCGTATAATAGGGATACCAGAAGGAGAAGAAGAGGAGCAAGGAATAGAGAACCTCCTCGAAAAAGTAATGATGAAAAATTTCCCTAATTTGAGGAGAGAAAGGCTCTCATGGATCCAGGAGGCACAGAGGACCCCACTCAAGAAGGACCCAAGGAGGTCCACTCCAAGACACATCATCATTAAAATGGCAAATGTCAAAGACAAAGAGAGAATCCTGAAGGCAGCAAGGGAGAAGGAGAAAGTAACATACAAGGGGGCCCCGATACGCCTAGGAGCTGACTTCTCAACAGAAACACTCCAAGCCAGAAGGGAATGGCAACAAATATTCCAAGCCATGAAAAGCAAGGGCCTACAGCCAAAGCTGCTCTACCCAGCTAGGCTCTCCATTAAAATAGAAGGAGAAATACGGAGTTTCCCAGACAAAAGAAAGCTAAAAGAATACATCTCTACCAAACCAGCACTCCAAGATATGCTAAGGGGACTGGTTTAAGCAGATGAAGGAAAAGAATGAGACAGAGAGGAACACAAGTACAAAGAGAAAAGATGAGTAAGTTCCTATCAGTAATATCTCTCAATGTGAATGGACTAAATGCCCCAATCAAAAGACACAGGGTAGCTGAGTGGATAAGAAAACATGACCCACACATATGCTGCCTACAAGAGACCCACCTCAGAGCAA